TAAGTAGTTTCGGTAGTCTTCATGGATGGGGACCGCAAAGTACGAGTCCTTCATATCCACCTTGGCCATATACGAACCCGGGATTGACTAAGTCTCTAATCATTTCTAAGGATTCGAGCTTAAAGTGAGTGTGGGCGATAAACTTGTTAAGTGGCTTAAGGTTTATGATAGGGCGGCAGGAACCGTCTTTCTTGGGAATGCAAAAAATGCTTGATATCCAGACCCTTTCGTGCCAATCTACAACTTCGATTGCGCCTTTATTTAGCATTTTAAGCACCTCTTCGCCCACAGCGGCTGAATGTGTTCTTTCATGAAAAGTGTGTCGCCGTAATTGGGGTGGGGTCCCTGTGAACACTAACTTATAGCCGCGCAAGGTTTCTCGGGCCCAGGCATCGATTTTTAAAGAATTCCATTCTTTAGCAAAAACATGGAATCTCCCTGCTACGATGCTACTCGTCGGGCCTACTCGAGACATAAGTCTAGAGAAAACCAACCTCGATTCATGGCTCTTCTCCTTTTTCCTCGAATGACTGTGGTGTCTCTTATACGTTCCGCTCTTTTTTGTGGTGGATCGATCTGCGTTCTTTCCGCAGAGCCTCAGTGAGACGCTGACACTGAGTCTTCTCTACCACCTCGGTGGCCAACTTGGGCCCAATCAGACCACCAGCGAACTCGTTCCACGGCTTATCGGCGGATCGGGTCGGCACGTCCTCGATTGGTAGACGACGGTAATTCGGTACAGATCTCGCCGGATCTACGCCATAGCTCCTGCAATGGAAAGACTTGAAATTAGTCGAGAGCCTATCGACAGCAAAGAGACTACCTGAAGAAACGTTCTCTGCGCCGAACGTTGAGGTCGTGTAAAGCAATACCGAGTATTTCCATTGCTTGCTTTACGTACGAGTCTGCTCGATCAAGGCGCTGCTCCGCTGCCTCATTGCGACTGATGGCAAGCAGGTTCAGAGCATTCATGACGCATTCTGAATCCGCAACCATCGAGGACTCGTCCAGAGGTAACCTGTAGTTGAGGGCACGCAAGGCCCTCGTCCAACACCGGCACAGTGGCTAATGGTGACGCCACGAGGGGGAGGCGCTCATAGTACGATATTCTTTCTTCCTTCCCTACGTACATTCCGGCAGCGCACACGTCGAAATGTTCTAGAAAACTGTCCGTTATTTTCACTCGAGACCGCAACTTCTTCTTCTCCAGCCCTACTATTTCGGGGGCTTCACGGACACTTGAAGAAAATTCGATCTTCTTGGGAATTCTATCGTGGAGCTCTTGAAGTGGTGACGGTGGTTCGAACTTCTGGCGACTCTCTCTCTTCGCGGTCCTTCAATTTCCTTTCGAGAAGAGGATCTGATTCCGAGTCTGTCTGATAAGCCTGTTGACGAATCGTATGAGTCCGACGATGAAGACCGACCATGCGAACGACGTTTCCTTTTACGACGATTTCGAGATGCACGGCCTCTTACACGTTTTGCTGGCCGTCTCTGCTCTCCTAATGCGTCGTCCTGAAGGTGGCCGTCAGAGAGTTGATCATCGTCCAGCAAAATCTTCTCAAGCTCTTTCAGGTTATCGGACTCTAAATCCGACATCTGAAAAAAAGGGTGTAGTTGCAGGGCTAACTCGGTGTCCGATAACACAACGGCACTGAACGAGTAATATTTGAGAGGGCCCCTGATCGATCATCTACTCCCTAGCTGCCCCAACGATGGTCTTGGGAGAGAGGGGAGTGAGCGGCCCTGCCGGGCGGGATATCGATTTTCTAGACGACCCCCATGGAATACAACACCGGCGAGGTCGCAGCTGTTGGCGAAGATCCGTCCGAGAAGGGGGAACATCCCTTGAAAATCTTCGGGAACCCCACTAGGCTGAGTGACCCTTTTAACGAAGGCTCCCCTGGCGGCCTCACTGCCCAGGGATGGAGGACCAGGGAAGGCGTCCTAGACTGCCTTAACAACCCGATCTGTGAGGTGGGAAAGACCCACTAGTTCTATTACGCCTCGGTGTGGTAGAGGAAAGCGTCTACGACAGCCTTGACAACTCGACCAGGCAGGGCGTTACCATACGAGGAATACAGTAGAAGAATATTCGAGGTGATAGAGACGACAGCTCCGGACGGAGAGCAGGATTGGGGCAACCAACCGCTGCGAGCTCTAGAAAAGGCAACTGAAGTGTCTGATCCTTTTCGGCCACACACCAAGGTTTTTGGCGGGAAAAGATCAAACACTTGATCGTGAAGATCAACTAGAGAAGACAGGAGCTGCCGCACCCACAGCTGGTTGATGTGGAGATCAGCGTGCTCTCTCCTAAGACGTGCTCTCTCTCATATTTTGTCTTTTCTGGTTGCACTATGACGACCTTACTGGAGGTTCAGGCCCATGATACAATGATAAATCTTGCTTTTTTTCACTTTAAGTTCACTCCGCTTTTCAGCTATCGCTATGAAGCTCTCTCATACACCAATTTTAGCCAGATGTACCATATGTAAAAAACTATATGTATAAGTTATGAAATAACAAGAAAAAAGGTACACTTATGAAACTACCAACAATACGTACGAATAACATAATAGTGATTGCTCTATAATTGAACAACATAGACATTTTTGTATGTAATTATTAATGACGTTAAAGTAGACGCTAAAGCGGATTTACCAGTTATATATGCCATTCCAAAATTGCATAAAGAACCTGTCCAAATTTAGTCACAGGTGGCAATTTTAGCCCTCTATTAGCTGATCTTACACTTTCTGTAATGGAATACAACTATGCGAAACAAACTTGAAATCTTGTGCAAAAATATTTTTATCCCTTATAGGTATATGGATGACCTCTTGGTTATACATAATCAAAGTGAGGATGTAATAGACTCAAAACTAGATAAGGTATACAAAAGTAAACTTGAACTCAAAAAAACACATGTTGGTTGACAACTGTAGTAACTATCTAGATTTAAAGGTTTATATTCATAATGGTAGAATACATACGGAATTGTATAATAAAACAGACGATTTCTGCTTTAAGGTTATTCGCTTTCCACATAGTGACACAAGTATTTCTTATACTAATAAAGGTGCTGTTATTTATACTGAAACACTTAGGATATCTAATACATGTTCTGTTTTTTGAAGTTTTCATTTCCAAAATAGAAGAAATGGTACATGTTTTAAAATCAAATGGCTATGAGGACAGTTTCATTACCTCTAATATTATTAGGTGCATATATAATAACAAGTTTATCAGTTATAAGTATGGTATAGAAAGTAGCTTCAAATACACTACTCAATTAATTAAAAGTATCACCCATAATGCATCGTGTTAATTTATTCTACCACTCTTTTATACCTTAATTTACCTTACACTCTTTACTATTGTATAGCACAGATTATGTGCTCTAATATGCACTGTCTTTCAACTGCGTACAGTCGATACGCAGCTAGTTATAATTTGTACTCCCCTAAAATTCTACCCCTCCACTCACTGAGGGAAACTTGAAGGGGTTGGTGGAAATACAGTGGTTCCGTCATGAGTTAAAGGCGAAACGGACACCTTTTCGGGTTAGCTTTATGATCCTTTCGTCGACAACTTGTTTTGCTCCGAAAATTTTAAATTTATAAAACTGCTGGCAACATAATGAGTAGGGTCAAATCTTTAGACTAAAGAATTTACACACCATATTCACGTGTCTTATAGCACTCAAGAACTTCCACCTAAGTTACACTAGAACGTGGGAAAAATACGAAACGTTATTAGCCCATTGACAACATTAATAGCAGTATGTACTATACAACATTAGGCACAAAGGTATCAAAATCTACAATGCAGATTTTACCGATATGTTCGCTCATCTCGAACATTGAAACATCTGCCTTTAAGGAATCCATATGGCGAGATGTTATTAAGTAAAGCTCTCACATCCCAAAAGGTCTTGTAATTGCAAACAAAATGGTGATCGGCTATTCATCTAGACCGACAACAATACATCTAAATAACTCACGAATATTGCAAGATACAGAACCCTGTATATATTAGAGAAAGACTAATAGCATTGACAAACAGACAGTTTCTGATATTATCTTAGTAAACAATCACACAATAATCATAGCCCAAGCAAGCAAAGGACCTCCACGAGCCGAAGACCAATATTTAATTTACCGGAACTCTGGGGCCAGACTTCTGATACCAACCTTCTCAGTGATGGACCAACATCCCAGCTCTCATATCTAACTATGAGAAACGCTTACGATTCAAACAATAGATCAAATATTCTCCCTACCGTATAGATATAGGGGACGATCCTACTATATATCAAGCGGCTGGGCGTGCTGCTCCACCTAGCTTGGAATCAGTGTCCGAATGTGGTGTGCTGAACTGTGGTGTAGTTTGCCGGAAATTCAACGATACAGACCGTCAACCAACAAGCTGAAAGCTAGCGCCATGTTCTTCACCCTATCTTATAGAAGGGTGCAGATAGGGGACACACCGTAACAGCGTACATCAGACACGAAAACTGACTAATCGACTAGATACTAGACACACCCTCACTAAAAGAACCACGAACCGCGGCTAGAACCGCGACATCGCCAATTTCGGCAATTGTGTGATACTGGCGCTAGAGCGTCTAGACTCAAAGTGTTAGTGAGGGTGGTCTCCGGAACAAGATGGTCGGTACAAAAGATCACAGCCCGCGATAGAACACCTGATAAGACGAGACCTCGATAACGTATGCTTTTAAGAACTCGCAAAGTCGTTGATTCCGCTTACCCAGCTCGCACCACCTTGACATCAGCAGCACAACTAACAACGAGGTATGCATGGGGTAGGACGGGGACATTGTTGGTAGGTGATGGAAAGTGGTTACAACTGATAAGGGCTGATAAGGCGCGTCAGAATGCAAAAGTCGTCGATTCCGTTACGCAGCTTGCGTTGACACTAGAGCGTCCATACTCGCAAGTGTTATGTGGGGTGGTCCCGGGACATTGGTGGTACATGATTGGAAGCGATAGCAACTGATAAGGGCTGATAAGGCGCGTCAGAACGCAAAAGTCGTCGATTCCGTTACCCAGCTCGCGTTGACACCAGAGCATCCATGCTTACAAGTGTTATGAGGGGTGGGACGGGAACATTGTTGGTGGGTGATTGGAACTGATTGCAGCTGATACAGGCTGATAAGGCGCTCAGAACGCAAAAGTCGTCGATTCCGTTACCCAGCTCGCTTTGACACCAGAGCATCCATGCTTACAAGTGTTATGAGGGGTGGGACGGGAACATTGTTGGTGGGTGATTGGAACTGATTGCAGCTGATACAGGCTGATAAGGCGCCAGAACGCAAAAGTCGTCGATTCCGTTACCCAGCTCGCTTTGACACCAGAGCATCCATGCTTACAAGTGTTATGTGGGGTGGGACGGGAACATTGTTGGTGGGTGATTGAAACTGATTGCAACTGATAAGGCTGATAAGGCGCGTCAGAACGCAAAGTCGTCGATTCCGTTACCTGGCTCGCTTTGACACCAGAGCAACCATGCTTACAAGTGTTATGAGGGGTGGGACGGGAACATTGTTGGTGGGTGATTGGAACTGATTGCAGCTGATAAGGGCTGATAAGGCGCCCCAGAACGCAAAAGTCGTCGATTCCGTTACCCAGCTCGGTTTGACACCAGAGCATCCATGCTTACAAGTGTTATGAGGGGTGGGACGGGAACATTGTTGGTGGGTGATTGAAAGTGATTGCAATAGATAATGGCTGATAAGGCGGGCAGAATGCAAAAGTCGCCAATTGCGTCACGTAACTCGCCGTGGCGTGTTTAGCGAGTTCCCTATTACGAATTTATGTTTAGTTTGGTGCGTGCACCATTGATATCGATCTTTCGTATAGCATACATTATACGAAGTTATACGAGCATAAACGCAAACAAGTCTTCAGCAAATGATAAGTATCTTTCTAAAGCAATATCAAGAAAGCCCAAACTCATTGAACCGCTAATCCTTTCGGGGTTCTAAATAATGGTGAGTGTAAACAAATGATAAGCATTAATTCCTCACTCATGTAAATAGGCATATTTCTTTTTCATTTTGAGACTGACAGCAAGAAAATCGTATTCACCGCTAAATTATCTGAATTCAAGAAAAATGCTGGGTGTTTACAGTTGTGAGATATAATATGTACACAGTTCTGTTGCCAGACGTTATCACGCGTATTCTCGATGGACTTCAGCGAAACTGGGCAAGGTCAATAGTGAGGTGGTTAAGGGAATACCTCATAGTAATATTTTGGGTCCTCCAGTTTCGCTAGAGCCTCCCGTGTGATGCGCGCGAAAGCGGTGATCGCGAAGCAAAACTGGTTTACTAATTATGCCATCTCAGAATGAACAAAAGGGACAAAAGGTTTGGCAACTTAGCATTTGTTCTAATTTACAAAAGTGAATTACCTAAACATACAAATTAAAATTCCCTAATTATCCATAAATACAACAGAGGCATATGTTGTACTGAACTCTGGAACAGCAAACACTTATAGTCGGTTCATTAGCTTTTGTATTGAACTTAGGGATATGATATCAGTTCTAGCAAATTATGGCTACGTAAGAGTTTATTATATATAATATTATTAGAATGTATATACCAAAAATAAATTTGTTTGCTATAAATTTGCGTTACCATACAATGTGAAAAATATCACTAATTGGTTAACACATGCTTCAATAGGTTTTTATGTTTCCCACTTGTCTGTTAATAAAATACAGTATCTTAGGTATAGATTTGTGATATGATATTCTTCGTGAAACTATGGTTTTTCTCTAGGAGCTGCAAAACGTCCGACGCCATACGGTACGTGCAGAGAAGAAGCTTGGTCAGAGATCTTCTGTATGGTAGCGGAGCAGCCGACGTTGGCAATGGTAAACCGTGTGATAATTGACTTGTTCCTGACTTTTATCAATTCCATCCTGTTGCAGTATACATGGGAGATAACGTCAGGGCTGCAATCCATGTTCTTTCACTAAACGTCCGGACTCTACACATATTATTCCGTGGGACCACAGGTGAAAAACTAAGATAAGTTAAAAGAATTCGACCAGTTGCAAGCATTACAGAAGGCATGTGAACAAGATCTGCATAACATCGTCGCGGATGGGATGCACTCACCGCATTTCAAATCGTTGGATGCCATGCACAACTCTACTGCGTGCATGGTTTGCGTTCGCAAATACACGAGATACTGTTTCTGTATGCATTACGTCGAAGAAAACAGGGGAAGTTCACGCGAGAGTTTCCTTCATGTGAGAACCGACATCATTGGTGATCTACCGCGACAGGTAGATCACCAATGATTTCCAAATGGCAGCTAGAACAACCGCTAATAAGATTTTCCGAGAATCTCTTTGGAAGGCTGTGCGTTGGCCGGCTGGCCTACCGAGAAAGGCGTACCCCGGCCTAAGCAGATGCAATCAACGAGTGGAAAGAGGTCAGCGAATTGTGGAATAGTGGAACACAACAGGTTTTCTAAGCTTTTAAACTCTTTGACACTTAGTGATCTTGTGCAAGCCGTCCAGCAGTAAGAAAGCCACAATCAGGAATGTGGTGTCCTCACTTGCAAGTCTCATCAGGAAAGCAAGGAGAAATCGAAGTCCGTCGAACAGGCGCTTCGCATGGCACAAGAAAATGGCTACGAAGCAACCAGGTAAGGATGCAGGCACAATTTGGTCGCACGCAGTCGTCGCGAAGTCGAAGGTACAAAAGTTCTATTTTGGGTCCCATTCATATCATACGGATTGAGTGCGACCATACGGTCATGCGTACGAAGGCTGATCTTTAAGGAAGTGGTGAAAATTGTAGACACACTGCCTACAAACCTCGGTGCGAAATCGGTTTTATGCGCGCCTTTGTAAGTTCCCTTCCTGTGTCATATGTCCGTACGATAAAGAATTGGACTGCATTGCATCTGGTGTGTACCTAAGATCGTGCCTTCAGTGCAAAGCGGAGTATTTTGTAGAAACGGGCCAGACGTCTTTGCATTCGCATAAAGAAACAGCTTGATGGCATGCAAAAGTCCAAAATTTCTACTCCGCTAGGAGAGCACAGGGTGCGATACCATGAAACACATGCTTCGAGGTGACCGCCACGCTATTATCTCGTGAACCCGAAAGTTTTGCTAAACGGACCTTGGAGGCTTGGATCATGGCCAAGACTCCTAAAATCAATAGCAGGGAAGAGTCTGTGGCGGCGCCCCTTTCGGTCTTGTAAGGCTTCTGACCTACATAGCCGATCCCCACGGGACCCTTGCGTCGTGTTCGGGGGGGGGGGGGCTTTTACAGTAAACGATAGGAGCTAGGATTGCAAGGTGTCAGCGGCGCGCTCGGCCTCTATTGGCCTCTTGAGGAGCTTGATCTACGTGATCAACCCTCGGGAGGTCCCTCAAGCAAGTTGTTCGGTACTCCCCTATTTAGCGTGCATTCCCACCAGCTCGAGGGTGACAGGTGGACCATCCAGGTCGGCGTTCCTGAAGACTGGTCTTCATGGTTTTATGGCATCGCCTTAGTAGCTTACTGTTCCTGTTCAATGACCTCTATATGTTGAAATTGTGTTTAGACGGATGGTTTTTCAAATGTCACTGGTCCTTTCAGGCTCCGAAGAAGGCGATAACGCCGAAACGTCAGCCGAATAAAGTGCTATTAACATAGAGTTTAGAATGTTTTGGTGGACATCCGCTATTGCGCTTATCAAGATAGAAGTGAAAATAGAGAAGGAATGAGAAGGTAGGTATTTTAAACAACACACAGATATAATTTAGCCTTTTGGTTCCAGATTTGAAGAATATTATTACCACAACGGAACCACCCATGAACAAGTGGAACAGTACTGCAAGAAAATGTCAAAATACATGACGACTAAAACCATACAGCTTTAAGGGATGTTAGCTATCTCCTATTGTTGTGTTCCTTTTTGTGTACGTGTCGTATAATTGAAGTTCGTTTGTTGGTGAATCCTGTTTGAGCGGAATGTCACGCAGAGGTCAGCAATCAGCACAAGCAACCGGCTAAGGCCAACCCGCAGGCAGGTTCGAGGGCGAGGCATATTACAGTAGCCATTGATTAGCTTACCGTATATTGTTATATCATAATGGATCATAGAAACCGCCACCCGGTGAAGTAGTAGGTGGCACACCACGTTCCATGCGTCATAGCAAGCTCGTTCTGGAGCCTTTCGGAACCTATGC